TCTCATGTAACTTCAATTCCCGTGCTAGAACACTTTTTCTTTTATTTGATTAGTCGAAATGGTCTATCAAACTTTAGACTCATTAAAAAAATTCGGTGAGTTGACTACTCGATCACTAAATTTACCATTAAAAATTAGTTAGATGGTAATAACCCGGATCATCCCCTAGTTATTAAAATAAGCTCAAACACTTATTTTAAAAACTGGAGGTCTCAACTTGCTCAACTCATCGACAAATAAATCCGAAATCGTATATCTTCTATTCGTAAAATGGGAGATAAACGGTACGAAGAAGCCATGGAACTTTGGTTTGGAATTCGATAAATACGTTTCAATACTCTTATTCATACTAGTTTAAAATTTTCAATTCTTCTTTCTTAACTTGCTACACTTATTGTAAAAAACATTTTTTGGATTTGAATAACTTTAACATCTAATTTTAAAAAAAAAATTGGACGTTCAAATAAACAAAAATGTTACCAAAAAATTCATCCGTATTCCAGTAACAATTAGATGAAGGATAAACTTGTCTAGAAAATATTAACATTAAATCATTGATGGTTGTTACTATTTGAAATCCGACGATTCACAGGAAGTACAGCTCTCTGGTACTAAACCCAAAACAGTCCCACGGCACGATCTCTCGCAACCACTACAACACGCTACTCACTGTTTTGTCAACGCATCATGGATCGCTACTTCTCTTCATTGTGGACTCGGCTTTAAGGATTCAAGTATGAGGATAATTAGCAAAGCTTTAGCTATATGTGCAGAGGCTTTCGCTATAAAAACTGCTTTGAGTGCAGCCCAACTTGCAGGTTTCCGAACTCTTAATTTTTTTTCGGATTCCCTTTCTCTTGTCATGTTGCTCATTTCGAACAACACGACTAAGGAGCTGAAATCGATGAACACTAACTCCATTCATGGAGGTTAATTAAGCTTAGTAAAGTTTTGGTTTGTTCAGAAAAAAAAATATTCATTGATGGTTTCCTAATTTCCAACTTATTATTTTCCCTCTACCCAAAATTTTCAAAATTTTTAACTAGTTAAGCTACCGATTAGGACGTCGAATTCTTCTCTTATGATGACCCTTATCCTTATATTTACAAAGAATTTATCTTTATCTCGGATTCATTTCATTCACTATACATTGGTATCACTTTCAAACTGTGAGCATCAACATTTAGGTTCATGATCCAAGTGGTACTTTAGAGGTTTTCAAATAAAGGAGGCTATTCGGAGTTTTAAATTGGTCATACGAGTTTGTGAGAGTGAAACACACTTATGTGAGTCGAGAGCTTGTGTCCATTCTTATACTATGCCATTTGAACAAAATATTTACTAGAAACATACACTTACTTGAAATATTTATAAATATTATAAGTTTATAACCAATAACACTAAATCTATTAACTAATTTTAAAATTAGATTATGCCATTTTAAACAAAAATCATTGTAAAATGCTTGGTCGAATACAAATTCCTTACTGGTTAAACCTACTTTCATGAACTTAGAAATCTCTTCGAAAATGTAGTTATAGTTTAATGAAGGACGGATAAAAGAAGAAGTAAAAGAAAAGGCTCAAAGAAGACCAAAAAAAAAAGTTTAATGAAGGACGAAAGAAAAGAAGAACTACAAGAAAAGGCTCAAAGAAGACCAAAAGTTCCATTAAAAGCTTATACCAAGCCCAAAAATTTTAGAAATAAAAAACCTTTCATGGCTATGACGAAATCTGAAGGAAGAGTGTAATGAATGTTTTAAGGTATCAAAATGTTGAAATCATATCTACGGCGTGGACATGATCATCCCCAAAATGTGATTATGCCTGTGACATTACGTTAAATATTTTTGCCCCTAAATTTTCTGATCAAGCAAATATATTTAGACAACAGAAAACATTTGTCACGACCGTATCCCATAAATTTTTAAAATTTGGCGTGGAAATTTTTTGGACCGAGAATGCAAAGTGGATCAAAGAAAATTTCAGTTGATTTAAATTCTTAAACCCAAAGTAAAGGTTCATTAAATATGGTTTAAGAGGCATAGCCCAATTGTTCTCTCCAAAGAGCTTTATTATCTCTAAATACCCTAGTTATCTAGTCAAGACTTAGACTACTCTAACATAACCCCCACGTGAAAGCAAATAACGAAAACAGAGAAGCAGAGAGCTTCCATAGGAGAAGGAGGAAGGAGAAACAGACTCGAGATGGTGTTGCAGAGCTTTTTCTGGTCAGCTCCGAGAGTGTTAGGCCACTTCCTTTATACCATTGGAAAGATCCTCTATGCAGCTTTCCAGCGCCTCCGGCTTTGCTCAATTTGAAGGTATATGATGCGAGATATCGCCTTTTCAATTTGGGGGATCGAATATGATCTAAGTACAGTTCAGTTTCAGTTTCGAGGAGGGACTTTGTGAGACATATTACGATCATATATGAAGGTGCTATGAGATAATCTACATACCGATAGAAAGCCCCGAGTCTCAGGTTAACAGAAATTCTAGGATTGTCTTGATCCAATGTATGTGGTGAAAGTTATGACATTTTCGTTCCATTGACGCAACTTGACCTAAACCGTAAACAATCACAGATTTGACCAGTTTCGTTTGGGAATGGAAACCGAGGGTCAAATGTGTTATGATCGATATGGAACTTTGTAAGAACCTTTATGACTCTATTCTTTACCCTAATCCGAAATCGGATTGTCATTCGGATTTGTTATATGAAAGTTATGGTTATTTACTTGGAGTTGATATCTGCAGTGCGAATCAGTGACCAGTCAGAGTATATTTTGTGTTGCGGCTTTGGTAGAGATCTGATGAAGCTGAATTTTGGTAAGGAGTTTCATCACCTTCTTATTTGTGCGTCTGTAAAATATCTCCGTGTTATCTGTGGTAGTTTGGGAGATATGATTGAATTACTGAGACTATCCTATGCAGCGCTAATACCAGACGAGTCTGTTGAGATGGGGTGTTTGGATAAGCAAATAAATCCGGATCGAGCTAAATCTTTGTAGACATGTTGGGGACACATAGACCTAACTCTCCGTGGAAGGAAAACATATTTGAGCGTGAAAAGCATAAGGAACTGTTATGTCAAAGTTGTGACAGTGAATCTGTCCAAGTGCAGTGCACAGAGTAGCGAGTTGTTCTTCTTCATTAAAGTAGCTAAGGTGCGGATGTTGTCTAAATTACTTTAATACTACTTAACAGTAGATGTTCTTACATGTTAGTCTAGGGATGGAATGTGATGTTGTTGGTTATCTATGCTAAGTCTAGGGATGCTTGATGTTTGCTTGTTGCTATGTGGTAGATTGTAATATTGTTTGATGTGTGGAAACTATTTGATAAAGTTGTATGGTGCTAGGTAGAGAAAGAATGTTAAAGATTTAAAATGAATTGTTTGAGATTGTTAGAGTATATGATAGATCTACGGACGATCGCGTATGTAAGCCCGTTGCAGAACTTTGCTTGTTGGACTACGGACGATCACGTATGTAAGCCCGTTGTAGTCTAGGCCTTAGAGGGCCATGACAGGGAGGACAGATCCAAAACGTGAGAAAGGGGTTGGCTTCGCCGTGAATTTAGGAAAAGTAAAAAAAGTAAAAAATGTGAAAAGGAAAGAAAGCAAAGAATGTGAAAAGTAAAAAATGTGAAAGGTGAAATGTTTAAGTATGATAATGTATAAGTAAAAGAGATTATGGTATAGAATTGATAGGTATGAATATTATGTTGCTAGTAATAAGTTGGGTGATGCATGTTCTATTTCTAGGTTAATGTGTTTGATTGCTTATTGTTTTCAAGTATTAGAGTTGTTGTGGCTAACTTCCTCATTGAGTAATTTCTTCCTGGAATTGCTCACCCCTCTTTTTTCCCTTTTTAGTGTGTGCAGGTATGTTGCTTGTTGAGAAAGTTAGGGCACGAGACCTAGGACTCAAAGTGATCGGGGATTGGGTGTTACAACATTGGTAAAAGCCGAAATAAGTACGAAATGTTACATGGTGAAGGAAGAAAAGTGGAGGAGGCAAGTCCTGTAAAGTGTGGCTATTATGATCTGGGAACTTATAAAATTTGTTTCCACTTCTTCATCATTCTCTAATAATAAGCCCTATACTCAACGGAGACATGATATAAAAATGATCGGGGATCGGATGTTTATAAAATTTGGAATTTTTTTATCATACATAATTGTACATAATGTTACTGTTGATATATGTAAAACTATATAGGTTTTTTCAAAT